TTTTGGCCAATAATGTTTAAATAAAAGAGGTAAAAGTTTTTATTAAATATGTATTACTTAATGAGACAGATGATACTTTTCCCCCTAATTATGTAACATATCCATGGATGAATATTATTTATTGCTAGAATGAGGAAGAGTTCAGAACTAATTCTAATCCTATTTTTGATTTTTATGTAAGCACTTAGAAATATTTTTCACATAACTAAATGGATGAGAATTGAGCACTTTTTGAACTCCTTTCAAGGTTATGCCAAATATCACATGATAATCTATCACAACGATTACTTTTGAAGATCAATAGACAATTCAAATAGGCTTTTCAAAAAAAATTTTGTTGAAAGCAAAGAACTGGAAGCCTCTTGATTTACAAAAGTGTTTTGTTGCCCTGTCATTAGGCTGTCATACATTTCAAAATTCCTGGTAATACCAAAATTCTTTATCAAGGAATATTAAATAGCTACTAATTTTTCCTTCAACTTTTTTTCTTTTAGGCACTTTACTTAAACTGATATTCTCAGAAAGGGTTGGGAATACCAAAAAACTATTACTTTCGAAACACCTTTACCAACATTGTTATTATTATTATTTTTTTCTCAAATTACATTTATTATGTGCTTTATATATATTTTCATCAAAACCTTGGAGCTACCTATTTAGCTTATCGACATAGGGATACCATGTGCCTTGGTTAGCCTGGTTAACTGAACCAGTCTCATTGTTAAAACAGTAATCAAAGTATTTGCATGTGTCTCTATAACCACTATTTCACTTCCAAATTTTTCCTGATTGTGGCTATGTGCTTTGTATGGAAAAGAAGAAACAAGAGTTGACCTTAGATTATTTTGATGGTCCTTCTGCTCCAAATTAACTTTGGATTATTTTGGTAAAATTTTAGATTTCATATATGTTGACTAACAGAGGAAGTCCCCAAACACCAAAATTATTAACCAAACACTTACATATAACCTCCACAAAGGAGCCTCCTTCCTAGCTTTCTCCCATCCCACCTCCATCCTCTAGACCACTGACTGCATATTTTTTTACCCATTTACTCTTTGACTGAAGGAAGCCTGACCTCAACATGGTTTCATCTCCATATTCTGCAGACTGGGAAGGAGATTTCTCATGGGATGTTCACGATGGCAATATTCCACAAGACAAAAATTTGAAATTTATAGATTTTCTATGGAAATTCATCTGTAGTTTATTGGTTTTACTGTTTATATATTTAATTCACTTATTCAACAAATATCTATTGAATCACCCTGTGTACAAAGATGGGGAATAAAGCAGCAAACAAGTAAGCAAGTCCAGACACAGCACCTGCCACCAGGTAGGTTATATTATAGTGAGGAGTTGGATATGAAAGAACCAGCAACTGCACAAACATTCTCTACGATAATGAGAACATCTATGGATAAAAGATCGGGTGATATGAGAGCATATAAAAGGGGATTGATTTCTCACAAGGATCAGGGAAGGTTTTCTTGACTAAGTGATATTCTGGCAGAGGATTAAATAATTGGATGGTATAAACCATCTTGGGTGAGGATTGTTGAGGTAAAGCATATGCAAAGGTTCTGAGATTGTGGGAAATGTATTTAAGTAATTTTTAACAAGCTAGTGGGACAGGGAAATGGAGAGAAAGAGACATGGAATGATGCAAGAAAGGGCTGGGGAGGAGGCAGTGCAAAATCCCCCTTATAGGAGATTTTCATGACTTTGGTCTTTATCTCAAGACCAATGGCCATTATAGGGGATTTAAGGACAGAGATGAATAGTCAGATGTGCATTGAAAAAAACCTCACCATTCTGGGCCAGAGAGAAAGCTGGGACATCAGGTAGGACGCTGTTGAAGTGGTCTGAGAGAGAGGTGCTGGTGCCTTGGATGAGGACGGTAGCAATGGGTGTGGACAGAGTGGAGACCCTTAAAGGATAGTTAGGATGTAAGGAGGTGGAATGTGCACAACAGAAAGATTCTTTAGGATCCAAGGAAGGCCTAATGTTAGTGGCCAGAGCAGGTGCATTTTAAACAAATCTCAAAGCTTAGAAGAATTAGAGGTGAATGTTTTCTATTTGCCTCCTACCATCTCCGGCCAATTCTGTGCTTGTTTTATTTCTAGAAATCTGGCTGAGTGAAAAGGATTCAGAACTCTATTGAAATAAAGTCATCTGAGGGTGTAGTCTATTAGTTTAAAAAATTATTTTAACAAATTTCGCCTAATTTGTGCCCTAATCTGTGCCCTTCACTGGGCTAGGCACTGGGGCACAAAGAAGATTGGATCTTAGCCACTACGATTAATGTCCTCATTGTCCAACTGGGGAGGCAGAAATGCCCACAGAATCTGGTTACACTACTATGGCCACTGTGGTGTCACTTATGAACAATGTCTTGTGGGAGAGCCGGGAGAGTACAGGGATGGTTAAGAGAACAGGCTCCACAGTCTGGGTTTGAGTTCTGACACATTCACGTGCTAACTTCCTCATCTAAGTTGCCTAAATCTCCTCATTTAAGAAATGGGGCTAATTATAATAAATTATTCATAAAGTGACTCTGACAATTATATGGCATGATGCATGAAAATCATCAATGGGCCAAGTACATAGCAACTGCTTAATAAATGCAATAAATTTAGCTATTATATTATTATAAGGAAGGGACTGATTAGCTATCTGAGTAGAGTCAGGAAAGGTTTCACAACGATGCTTTATATATTATTTAAAAGGTATACATAGTTGGCCTTTAATAAATGCTTATTTAAGGAATGAGTATGTTTTATGGTAATAACATAATTTATTGAAAATTTAGTACATGTTAGACCCTGCTGTGAGCATTATAAAGATGTTTCCTCATTTAATTCTCATTGAACCCTAAAGAAGAAATGATATTCTTATTCCCAGTTCACAGGGAGTTCTGAGGCTTCAGAACATCAGTGATTTGTCCCAGGTTTTATATAATTAGTAAGTTGCAAAACTGGGATTTAAATTCAGTCTAGTCCAATCCAAAGCTGGTACTTTCCACTTCTACAATATATTTCCTTCTTTACTCAAAAGTGCTGCTGAATTCAAACTAGCTTTTGCTTATTATGTCTTCTCTTAATGCATACCAAAAATAGTTGCTATAAGGAGTCAATAAAATATAGTATTTTATCTGAACATTTTAATTTTACAAATAAATGCTTATTGTAGAAAACAAATATATAGGGGAATAAAAAGTAAATCACTGGTTATTCCAAGTTCCATAATTACTATACACATTTCTCTGAAAATATATTCAGACTTCCCCCCTGCCAGTGCACTGAGTATGGATGTGTATAAATCTATCTTTTTATGATAAAAAATTAATGAGATCACTCTGTAAAGTTTTTTTTTTTTTTTTTTTTTTTTTTTTCAGAGATAGGGTCTCACTCTGCCACTCAGGCTGGAATGTAGTGGTACAATTATAGCTCACTGCAGTCTCGAACTCCTGGGCTCAAGCAATCTTCCTGTCTCAGCCTCCCAAGTAGCTAGTGCTACAGGTGTGTGCCACCATGCCCAGCTAATTTTTTTATTTTTTGTAGAGACAGGGGTACTGCTATGTTGCCCTGGCTGGTCTCGAATTCCTGGCCTCAAGAGATCCTCCCACTTCGGCTTCCCAAAGTGCTAGGATTACAGGCATGAGCCATTATGCCCAGCCACGTTTTTTTAACTTACTTTTAAATTAATAATATATTGTGAAACTCTTTTTATGTTTGGTAAGGTAGTGCTTAGCACAGTTCATGGCACATAGTAAAGGCTCAGTGAATGTCAGCTGCCGCTGTGACTGTCATCCTTACCATGGACAAATTGCCTTCCATTAAGTCTGTAATAATTTGACATCCCGACAACATGTGAGAGTTTTTTTCAACACATCTCAACCTCCACCAAACGTCGCTTCTATTGCTTAATTTTTTTTCTTTTTGTAAATCTTGAAGATTAAAAATGGAGTCATGAGGTTTTATTTTGCATTTATTTTATTGCTAATGAGGTTAGGCATTAGTCATCTGTATTTTTTATCTGAATTTTCCTTTTTTCATTCTTCTATTACTTTGCAATTAATTTTCTTACTGGCATGTATGAACATCCTCTATATTATGATTCTTCTATAGGAAATGTATATTTCAGATATTTTCACCAGTGGTGATGTGATTTTTTTAATTAAGATTTTAGTGGTTTTTTAAAAAAATATTAATAAATAAGTTAAAATTAAGTAAATTTATCAATCTCTTTATTATGGTTTATTCTTTTGCATTTTATAAATAAATGTCTTATACCTATGTAATACAAATTTGGCATTTTTGACATTAAATAGGGGTATGCATTCGTGATAATTTGGGGATGACTGGTGTAAGAAACGAAGTCAATCTGGGCATGCACCTGTACTTATGGTGTCACTGGGAAAAAGTTGAAAAGCTCTCTGCTTTAGGGAGAGTTTCAGTGGCTTCTGGATCTTTAACAAGTTCCTGCTTGTCAAAGTCTGAAAATATGAAGGTGTTTTCTTTTTGTTTTCATTTGCTTTTCTTGAAACCACAGAGTGTCTTGTTTTTCAGGTAATCTACTTCAAAATGTGCTACATCAAAAGGGGCTCATCTTGGTATTAAAGTTGGGACTTCTGAGGAAGGGGCATGATCACATTTTTGAAATTAGATAATAGCAGTGCCTCAAATATTTCCAAATCTTACATTGCGTTGTTCATCATGAAGAAGAAAATATTTTCGCTTTTTAAGAAATATATCTAATTCAATATTAAATGTGTAAGAATACTGACAAGTGTGCAGATGAAATTCTGGCTTATTTTGTGAACTCAATTTTAAACAGTTGGCTTATTAATTTCTGTAATAAAAAGCCATTTAATGAATTGCTTTCATTGTGAAATTCATCCATCATAACAGGAATGCCTTCTCCCCCCCACCCAAAGAGATCTATGATTTTATGAACATTTTAATCCCATATTTAACCAAAAATCTTTTCTTTTCCAGCTTTTATTTCTACCAATCTGATGTCATACATGGCTACCGATGGCAATACTCTTGTAAGTACCCTTTCGAACATCTCAGGCTATAGATATTGTCAGCTTGATGAATGAGTGACATAATAGGCAAGTTAAATTTAGGTTTGGCTCAGTATTTATTGTCCCCCATTTCATTGGCAACAATGGAATCAAATGACCTTGTTGTTAGGTTTCAAGGGTCTTATGGTCACCAAGCATTTAAGGCCTCTGGCTATTTACTGTTAAAGATCAAGAAACATAACCATGATTTTAATACACTGTACATAAAATTATCTCTGTTTTAAGAAGATGCTATGATACTAATGTAGTCTCTCATGCAACCTCTGTAGCAAAAATTCCGTTAATTATGCTGAAATTGTGGATTTGAAAAAAATGTATGGCCATAAGTTTGCCTAACATAGGTAAGTAAATTGGGCAGGTATATTATTGCTATTAGATGAGGAAACTTATGCGGGGGTGGGGGGTGGGTGGGAAGAATTAGGACATTTATATCAGTAGCATGATGTTTCTAACAGAAGGGGCTGTGGAATCATGTGGGGTTGTATGGTGTGCACCTTTTGGCAAATCTAATGACCTCATAGTGGATGCATAGGACAGAGTTTTTTGGAGTGGAGCCAAAAGGAGAATCAGAAGTGGTTTTTTTGGTAGAATATAGTGCACACTTCCTGCCAAATCGAGAATGTGGACAATGGTTTTCTGATGCAAATTAGAAGAGGGATGTCAAGGCAGGCTGTGGTAATGGTGATGTAGAAAGTAAGTTAACTAGACAGCAGCAGCCTGGAGGTTAGCAGATAAATTCTCCACTTGTCTTGCTAACAGTTTCATATCCCAGAAGTAGAAAAGGCAGTGAAAGCACTTTAATTTTGGTACTTATAAGTAAGGAGGAAAAGTGTGTTAGTGATGAAAAATGGTGGAAATGTTGAGAGCCAGGACTACAGGAACCAAAAATAAAAAACACAAATTATAGCCAGTTATGTATGGTAGGAAATTTGTCCTCTAAAACTTGGAGTAAAGGAAGGTGTGATGCCTTGGACATGAATGGTGGATGTGTTTTGATAATAAAAATGTGAATAATTACAAGGAATATGAATAAGAGGAACAACTAAGAGAATACACTTGACCCTTGAACAACATGAGTTTGAACTGCACTGGTCCACTTATACACAGATTTTTTTTTCAACAAGTGCATTGAAAAATTTTTTGGAGATTTGTAACAATTTGAGACAACTCACAAATTAACCACATAGCCTCTAAAAAATTAAGAAAAAATCTGGCATGTCGTGAATCCATAAAATACATGTAGATACTAATCTATTTTATCATTTACTACCATAAAGTATACACAAATATATTATAAAAAGTTAAAATTTATTGAAAATTTTGCACACAAACACAGACTGTGCATGATGACATTTATAGTTGAGAGAAATGTAAAGAAATGTAAACATGCAGTATTAAATCACAACTGCATAAAATTAACTATAGTAAATACTGTACTTGTGTAATAATTTTGTAGCCACTTCCTGTTGTCATTTTGGTGAGCTCAAGTGTTGAGAATATCTGAGTATCCATATCCTCTTAAAAGGCTACATAACACCAATCATTTCCCACAAGCAGTGTCTCTCCATTAAATTGCATATTGGAGTAAAAAGTGATCTCCTTGTCATGGTTTTGTGTATTTTTCACTGTGTTTAATGCAATATTGTAAACCTTGAATAACACTATAGGATCCATGTGAAGTGCTGCTGAATGTGCTGCTAAGAAGCAGAGAAAAGCCATGATAATACAGGAAAAAGTTGAATTGCTTGATATGTACTATAGATTGAGGTCTGAAGCTGTGGTTGTCCACCATTTTAAGACCAGTGAATCCAGCATAAGAACCACTGAGAAAAAGGAAAAGGAAATTCATGAAGTTGCAGCTGCAACTATGCTCACAGGTGCAAAACCCTTGCCCTTTTTGCAAAATACTTGCAGCTTTTATGTGGGTGCAGGATTGCTATAAGAAAGTCATACCTGTAGACTCTAATGTGATTAAAAGGCAGCAAATGAATTCCCAGATGCCATTAAGAAATGCTTGGACAGGTTTTTAATGCGATTGAAGGTGCCCTATTCTGGAAAAGAAATGCCACAAAGGATATTTATTAGTAAGGAAGAAAAGGGAACATCAGGATAGGTCAACTCTACTATTTTGTGCAAATGCAGTCAAGTTTATGGCCAGGACTGCCCTTATCTCTAAGATTTCTAACCCCCAACCCCCTCATCTTCGAAGGGCAAAAATAAACACCAGCTGCTAGTCTTTTGGTTATACAACAAAAAGGCCTGGACAGCAAGAACCCTTTTTCTGCATTGGTTTCATTAGTACTTTGTTTGGAAGTACCTTGACAATAAGGGACTTCCTTGTAAAGTTCTTTTGATACTGGACAGTGCCCCTGGCCATCCAGAACCCCATGAGTTCAGCACCAAAGGTGTCTCAAAATAGTCTACTTGTCCTCAAACATGATATCTCTAATTCAACCTCTGGATCAGGGGGCACAAGGACCTTTAAGGCTCATTACACACAATACTCTATGGAAAGGGTTGTCAAGGCTATGGAAGATAATCCCGAAAGAGGGAGCGTTATGAAACACTGGAAGGATCACACCATTGAAGACAGCGTTGTTGTTACAGAAAAAGCTGTGAAAGTCCTCAAGCCTGAAACAATAAGTTTCTGTTGGAGAAAACTCTGTCCAAATGTTGTGTATGAATCACAGGATTTATGACAAAGTCAATCAAGGAAATCATGAAAGAGACTGTGGATATGACAAAAAAGTGTGTGTGTGAGGGGTGGGGGTGAAGGGTTTCAAGATATGGATCTTGGAGAAATTCAAGAGCTAATAGACACCACACCAGAGGGATTAACAGAAGATGACTTGGTGGAGATGAGTGCTTCCGAACCAGTGCCAGATTACGAGGAAGGAGACGTAGAAGAAGCAGTCTTCTTCTGAAAGACTGAAAAAAAATTGGCAGTCTGACAGAAGGGTTATGATTATTCAAGACTGAGTTTGAATTGTACAACATGGACTTTCAACGATCATAGCACTGAAACTAAGCAAAGTGGAAGAACATGTATCCTCAGTATGGAAGTTTTAGACGAACTGGAAAAGAAAGAAGATTATAATCGTATTCTTCAATAAGTTACAATGATACACTGCCTCTCCCTCCCCTTCCACCTCTTATCTCACCCCTGAGCAGCAAGGACCAACTCTCCTCTCCTCTTCCTGCTCTTCCTCACCTCACAAGTGAATGAATGGATTGAAGACCTTTTTGAAGATCACACTTCCAATTAGATGATACTAGTAAATCATTTCTCTCCTAGATTTCCTTTCCTCTAGCTACTTTCATTTGTAAGAACTACACTTTACTTACTATAACACAAATACCTGTGTTAATTGACTGTTAATATTATCTAGTAAGGCTTCTGTCAACCAGTAGACTCATAGTATAAGATTTGGGTAGTTAAAATACTCCCGAATATTTGACTGCACCAAGGTCTGTGCTAACTCCTGTTTTGTAAAGGGTCAACTATAAATGTGTCAACTTAAAGACTTTTGCTGCACACATGTGAAGGCAATGTACTGCGGCTGTTCAAAGGTCCTAGGTCAACGGTAAAAGCAAATGAAATCACCAGATCTGTAAACAAAGAGTCAGAAGACTCACATTCAGCAGTAATAATTCATAGAACATTTAAAAAGAAAAACATGCTGATTACAAGCCATGTTGGTTGTTATATGGAACACAGAAATAAAAAAGATTAGGATTGCCTCTGATCCTTGCGAAACCGGTAATGCAATGTTTCAATTCTTAATCTCTTCACCTTTCACACGAAAAATGTCCTCCAAACTGAAAATTCAATCTTAATATCTTTAACCAAGAAATGAAATTAAGGAATCAAGAGAACACTTAATACTTTAACAAAGTAATGTCATTCCTTGAAGAACTTCATCTTAATATTCCCCATTACCTAGTCCTTATTCCCTACATTCGTAAGGCACTGTACCAGGTAGGACTGGGATTAACTGACTTTAGACATAAAAGCTATAAATCTTTAAATAAAAGTATACCCCATGTGGTGCGACACACCTATAGATCCCAGCTACGCTGGAGCTGAGGTGGGCAGATCACTTGAGCCAGGAAGATCAAGGCTGTAGTGATCTGGTTGTGCCACTGCGTCCAGCTGGGCGACACAGTAAGACCCTGTCTCTGAAAAAAAATAATATATATATTATGAAATAACATTATACATTTCTCCCTTTTTTGCTTTCCAGTTCTCTAAAATGTTCATACTGAGATACCAATCCTTCTTCACCATTTCTTTAGTTTCAGTGCCTACATCTAGTGGAAGGTCCACGTTGTACAAGAAGTCAAAATCAGTCTTGAATAATCATAACCCTTCTGTCAGACTGCCAATTTTTTTTATATACCATATGCATGACAATCCTGGGTATTGGAGTAAGTTCACAGATGTGATTACTCAAGGACTAACATATCATCTGTATGATTCCAATCTAGAGCCATTACCAGTGTAGTAAGCAACCCAGTCCCCCTTAGTCCTGAGCACAAATGACTTCTGTCCTTCTTAATGTGAACTCTGGCTATTTATGGATCTTTCTCATTTCATGAGCCATCTCCACTCCCAGACGCAATCAGCCGGCCCTCCTTGTGTGTCTGTGTGTCTGTTATTTTTGTCTCACCGCCATCAGTGTCTGGGCAGTACTGCTGAACATTTCTCTTAAGCATTTCTTCCAGCTGCTTTTCAGCAGTTACCCTACTTTATCTTTCCATTCAGAAAATTAGTTCAATTTTCTGCTGTCATTTGTTCTCTAAATAAAATGTAGCACAGGAGACCTATTTTTCTGCTAGGTAGTTTCAGTAGGTTTGACACATTTGACCTAATCACATCCTGTATTACACTTCATTTCCACTAAACTAACGTTTATTGAGTTATCTGGGCTGAGCACTCTGCTTGGTGCTGGGGTAGGAAG